AGATGAACCAGAACTGGTTTGTAAAAATGCTGCAACTTCATGGTGTGGAACTGGTTTAGCTTTCGTCCGTCAGATACACAACAAAGCACTATTTTTGGTAGAGCATGCTAGCGGGCCGTCGTTATTACCGTGTTTTTTGGAAAATACGGCACACTTAAAATCAATCCTTTGATTTTTCTGAAAATCGACAGTGCCCCTTATAATCCCGTGTGCCTTATGTATGAATTCTGGTTGTGTTTACTGACCTCGAAACGATTTTATGTACACGGCGCTCGAAAATCTGTCAAATGTTTTAGTACGACTTTGCTAAGCTACGAAGCCGCACCGCTTGATGGATTGTCGGAGCATTACGGCTATCGTAGGCAGGAGCCTCGCGGAGTGATACGTACTGTGCTTCAACATAATATTACCGTATTGTGTGTGTATAACCTCTTTTTAAGTTTTGTGGATATTATACATGGTTATGCTGAGGATATGTCGGCCAATTTCCACTGGAAATGCCTTTTGGTTAAACTGTCAGCAAGGAATTTGCACTGTTACATTTTTATATAACTTTAATGCACATAAAAAACAGCTGCTTGTTTAAGTGAAAATACATTGATGGGGTTTTTTTGCACTAATAAAGTTGTGGAGTTGTAAAGTATTTTGTCTAGTGTCAATTATATCGTCAGTTATATCGTTATGCAAATTTTCAAATGTATATCGTGATAAATATTTTTGGTCATATCGCCCTGCTCTACTTCTGACTTCTTTGCTTGTTATTCGTCCAATGAACTAGACTGAAATAAACAAGTTATTCCAAAACATGGAGTGGACTACCTTCTTTTTTTTCCTTTTTGAATAAGCAGAGTCGACTAATTCTTGACAGGCAGACAAAAGAGCATCATCCTTTGAAGCAGATGCTACGCAGCAGAAGACCACATCGGAGAACTCTGAGGCACAACTCCACCGATCCTCACCAAGTGAAATTTTTAAACACCTTGCGACTCTATTTAAGTAAGTACAGTTATTCTGATGGCAGCAGTGTAAAAATCGGTGAGAAATCAAACAGTGGATCTTGTTGCTGTTCACTTCGAACTTTTTAATTGACCTTTTATACTTTTAAGCATTACAGCTACAGACACATGCTTTAACCAGGTATTAACAGATCAAATCATGGTCCCCACCACTGTGGGTGTTTGCTTTTCTTTTTAAAATCCAACCTCCTGAATGAGTCACACTGGCTCTACTCTGCCTGTATGCTGACCTCACACACACTATCTCAACTTCACACACACCTATGGTCACTTATTGCTACTCAGCACTGTTTATTTATACCTGATGTTTGCTGTGACTGCACAGCTGTGACTTTATCACTCTGCCATCAAAGCACAAATTCCTTTGTGCTCTTATGCAAGATTATCTCCACTTGGCCTCTGTCAACAGTAATAACAGTTGATTCAAACATCGACTTTTAGCCCAGGTCAAACACAATTGTTTGGACAACGGGCTCGACCTCAGTCAGAGCAGTAAGTTAAAGAATAGAAAAATACAAATGCTGCTTAGAAAAGGCACAGATTTAACAAGATGCTGGAACCATTCTGGTCCACATTTGCATGATCAGCACCCCTAACCCCATCACACTGTATGGGGTGGCTGTTGCTCAGGCGGTAGACTAGATCATCTACTGACTGGAAGGTTGGCCAGTCTGCGTGTATCCTTGGGCAAGATACCAAGCTGTTCTTCGATGCATACATTTGAGTATGAATGTGTGTGAATGTTAGATAGAAAGCATTTCAAAGCATAGAGCAAGTGCTTGCATGAATGAGGCGTGTTGTATAATGGCTTTGAGTGTCAGTCCAGATTTGTCAGCTGCACATTCATAATGAGAATCTGTCGCTCGACCACATCCCAAAGATGCTTGTTGAACTGGGATCTGTTGACTGTGGAGGTCACCAACCATTTGAAGGTTGAACCCTTAATAACGAGACAAGTCTGTATGCAATAAACCTCCTCAGATCTTAAAAAAAGACAACTGATGTATCCGTGGTAAATCTTGCGTGTATCTCTAGGCCTCTGGGGTTCAAGAAATATGAGTTTTAGTAAAGAAACCTGACACACAAAACATCTTGACGTCTAACCTTCTGAGTATTTGGACCCATCCGTGCACACCGCTCGTTACCACACGTATCAATGACGCCTGTATCCGAGTATACGTTGTCATTAACAGGATACAAAAAGCTCTCGAGAAATCAGCTTTCATGAATGTGTAGTCATTTTATCTGGCTGTCGACTAAATATTTCACCTGGGAGGTCAAATCCAACAGCACTGCATCCTCATCATCACACCTTAATCTCCATCCTGTACGAGAACTCTTTGCATGCAGTGACTTTTGCACACAACCACTAAATAAAACGTTAGGAGCTAGCGTTAGCCTGAGAGCTAACGTTGTGCACATAGCTGAAACGGCTCACAAATGTGCGATTCTCCGACCGTACAAGCACACAGGGCAACAGACTGCACATTCACACTCTCTGACGGCCCTCGGTTATTACACTCACCTGTTAATGGGACCCAAATAAGAAGAAAAAAGTCTCCTCGCTTTTTTGCGAGCTAATGCTGCTAACAATGTTGTTGTTGTGCTACGAGTTCCGCTTCTTCTTTTCTTTATAAGTGCTACCCTCTCTCTGTCTATCTGACTACTGACTATCGGATCTATCTATCTATCTATCTATCTATCTATCTATCTATCTATCTATCTATCTATCTACTGTCTATCTATTGTCTTCTGTCTATTCTATCTTCTGATCTATCTATCTATGTATTGTATATTCATCTTTAAATAAACATATAAAATTTTAAGTGAATAAAAACTAAGAGGCAGAAACAGAATTGTGATCATCTCTTCTCAATTTTCATTTCTGAATGTGTTTTGCCTTTTCTTTATTAATATTGTTCTAATTATTTTTATTTATCACTACATCATCATCTTACATCAATCATGTCACCATGACATGGTAACTTTGCCTTTAATAAATTCTTTCGAACTGTTTCTTTCCAGGGTAGTGATTGATTATAGCACACATCTGTAAGACTAAAAAAAGAAAAAAAATGAATTCAAATGCACAAGTTTAATTTTAATCTGGATTTTCTCTAATCCACACATGGTCAAAAGTATATTCTCCACTAAGCTTTGGGTTAATGTCCTTTGCTAAGATTCTTTTGGTAAACAACATAAACAACCGCATACTTCCAGCTGGATTGGCCACTGTTCTTGGCAGCATGGCAGAGTTAATTAAAGCTTGTTGGTTTTCTGAGATGGACCATGGAGCCATTGGAAAGGCCTATCCCTTCTGTAAAAGTTATCCTGCTTGATCTATTCTAAAAACAGTTTTGATGTGTGTTTGGAGTCGTTGTCCTATCAGAACACCCAAATGTGCTCTTGCTGTATCTTCTATTGCTCTATTACATCCACTTTGTGAAATGAACCAGTACCACTGGCAGCAACATTCGGTTTTACAGATTTTATATTTAAACTCACTTCACTTCCTCATGTTGAGCTAAAAACAAAAACATGCATTTGTTAAGTAGTTTTGAGACTTTAATTCAAAGTGTGTGAGCACAGAAACACACGTTACAGGAACAGACATGTTGCGTTGCCACTTTTGATTTGTTATGGATCCTCTTTGAGGAAAACTGCATTTCTTTTCTGTCACTCAGGGATCTTAAAGCATGTTTCTCCATTTGGCTCTTAACGTGCGGTGAAGTCCAAACTGGCAATAAAGTGTGCTGTTAGCATCCTAATCATCAGCGGTGAACATAGCTCCCATATAAAAACACAGGCATGTTTTCCTTTCCATAAAATTTAATGTACACATCATTACCTTCCCATTCCCTCACTTCTCAGTAAATAAAACCAGGGGCTAGTGTCACGACTCAATAATTACAAATCTAGATTACAAAAAAAAGCAATACAGACACAAATGTACTATGTGGCACAGCGTTAAAGTCAGGGCTACCAGCAGAGAGAGACGTGCTAGAGGTCGTAGTGGTTACAAGTCATGCTGTAGCTTCCACTGTCCAAGCACAGATGAACCTGTTTGACTCAGAGGAAAACCAAATTTAATGCAAAAACAGATACAATTTCTAATTTTTTGTGTGTTTTTGTATTTTTTTTGCAAAATCTATATTTAAAGGCACAGAATTGTCCTTTTGCCATCTTCTTACCTGTCCGAGGACACAAAAAGAAAAGAAAAGAACCGAGTAACAACATCATAGACCTTTGCGCTAACATGATTTGCTGAAAAATACAGTAAGCACTATGTACAGCAATAATTCATCTATCAGAGAGTGTGTGTTTTGTGTCATTTTGCAAAATGCAAGCGAATGGCAGCCTTAAAAAGTGTGATATAATCAAAAGAAATACTTGTTTGGTCGCAGCATAGAGAAAACCTGTGAGAGTGGAGGTGGAGATATGTATGCCCCTTTGATGTTCTGAACCATCTGTGTCCACATCAGTGCAATAACAACAGCTCTCTATTGTCATTTCAGCTGTTGCACAGAAAAATCTGACTTGACCTTTAAAGTCATACTAACGGTAACGTAGCAGCAACCTGAGAGTCCCACTGTGAAATGTACACAGGCTTACGTGAAGCTTACGCAGGGACTTTGACATGTTTAGGAATACTTTAGATTGTTTCTAAGTTCCTTCTGTTCCCCAAACAGATGATGCTTCTCACCTTCTATATGAAAACCAGCACTTAAAGACATGAAACTTGCTTTGTTTATGTTTTTTTGTTGGAGTCCAATAAACAAAATACTTCTAGTCTTTTTTTGTTTATGCAAAAAATAATTTGCTAATGAGTTATAGTTTTCCACAGATTTTTTTTAATCTTTACATGAAGCTAAAACTCCTTTAATTCACACGTCCGATTGTAAGGCACCAAAAAATAATCCAAATATCACAAAAACTTAAAAACAAAGGATAGCTTCAACACCATTTTTACCTCAAGCAAGTCACATGTCTTGGCAAGTTGATTTTCAAACCAATAATGAAGTGGCCGACATCAAATATACTGCAGGTATGGATGCAACACATGAAAAAATCCCCAGCATGTTTACAGTGGGCACCTTCGTGGTGCTAAACTGCCGTAGAATAAAAAGTTTATGAAGAAAACAGGTTTCATCTTCCCAAAGATGGGATTTCAGTGAAGCTTTATATCTGCTTTGCTCAGATCAGCCCAATAAGATAATGCAAACTCGCTTTAAAACCTTAAAATCAACCAGCAATCTGTAATTTTACTCTCATCTCACATTAAGCTCTTATGTACCCACTTCAAACGTGATCAGCCCATTGAAAAGCATTTGTAGGCTTGTCTGTCCCATAGATATGACAGTCAGACGTCAGAGTTGGTGTAGAGACTTTCTGCCTGCTGTCAGTATCTATGGGAGCGACAAGAACCAATAACGGCCAACTTCCTGAGCTGATAACCTTTAAATTGGGTGCTTAACGTGTGTGAGGGGCACTTGTTTGCTTAAACGGGGGTGGGGGCACTCTCCGAGGTAGCCGAGAATGATTCTCGCTGACATCTGTCACAAGAAAGCTGACACGTAATAAACACATACATAAACAATAGCACCATTATCAGTGATAATCTCGAGAAGATCGCTCACACTGGGACTCTTCTCTTTCCTCCTCCTACCTCCAGCTTCTTCTTCTTTTTTTATAAGCCATTCATTCCTACAGGGGATAAAAAACTCTCAAAATGGGGCCGATGTTGCTCGACTCGATTCTGAAACCATCACAGCACAGGAGAAAGGTCCATTCAGTCAGTCACGTGTTCTTTTTTAAATCCATCTGATCCTCCATCATAAATTCTTGAAATGTTAGTGAATCCCCTCCTGATGTTTCCCCGCCTCACTCCTCCATCTTTCACCTTTGCCTACTACAAGATCTTGCTGCACACTTGGCAGCGGCTGACTCTGGAGCGCTCCTGGCCTCCCTTCAGCGTCTCCTTGGCTGGCGAGAAGGTAAACTCATTTTCTGGATCCACGGTTGTCAGCCAGAAGCTGTATTTATTGGCAAAGTAGTGGCAGGTGCCCCTGGCGCCGTTGCACTCGATGAACGGAGTCGCCCGGAAGTCCTCCAGACAGGAACCGGGAGACACCAAGGACTGACCGCCGCCCTCTGCACCAGCTGCTGTGTGCTGTGTCAGAAATGAAAGGACATTTTTTTTAAATATGACATCTCTGAAGACAATTTGGCAGTATGCAGAACCATGGGAAGAAATAACCTCTTCATCTAATTGCTGGTCTAAATCTGTTTGGTAGAAGCTGCCATTAACTACGTACCATTAGGAAGGAGTATCCTATCCAGAGACTCCTCCAGCCGATAGGACAGTTGGGGATTGTCATATCCTGACTGTGGACCGCCACTGCCTGAGATGGAGCCTCACATACTGAACACCTGTGTTATTCATATAATCAGATGAAAACTTCATTAATTGTATGCACATGTATATGACAGGCAGCTTGACTAAAGTAACACAGTGTACAATACCTGCTGATGTAAGGTCTTATCTCCTCCTTTTCCACGGGCATCATGGGTATGGATGCGGTCGTGGAGAGCCAGTAGGATTTATCATTGCGGCTAGCGTAGTAGCAAATCTCGCTGGGCGAGCAGTAGAGGAAGGGGATCGTGTTGAACCTGGGGAGACACGACCCCGGCTGACCTGAAGAGACAAAGGGAGGTTTTAAACCTTTAATTGTGCCCCACAAAGACTGCTATAACTAGTATTTATGGTTCATAAGAGCCTGAGAGTGTTTTCATACCGAGGTCTTGGTTGTGTGCCTTCTCCTGTCCCTCTACATACAGCAGACTGTAGCCCTCCCACAGTTTGGCCATGCCTTGAGGACACATGGGAACCTGGGGGCTCTGGCTGTGCTTAACCAGAGTGTAGCCGATGCTGTGGCTGCGGCCGACGCTGCCGGGAATGCCGCGAGGGCCAATTGTACCAGGAAACCCTGAAGAAGACGGGGGAAAGAATAAGAACATGCTAGAAGTGATAAGCTATTAAAAAGTCGAAGATAAACAAAAATCCTGACCTTGTGCTCCTGGGGATCCAGGGAAACCAGGAGGTCCGGGATCCCCAAGAGGTCCTTGAAAACCAGGAACTCCAGTCCTGCCCAGTCTACCCAATGGACCAGGGTTCCCCACAGTACCTGCAGCAGGAGAATATTTTACACTGCTTATCATTCATTTTTCATCTTCTCACTTTATTATTGTTTTTTCTCTCTCTGTACATTAAAACATGCCAGATTAGCTGCATATCATTTATATTGATGTTGGGGGAAAGTAGATTTTAACACTCTATGTTAAAAACATTTGCCTTCTTTCACTTTGTTTGCATTTGAATGGAAGCAAACTAGCTTATCCTAAGCAGAACAAACAGCTCCTGTTTCCTGCAGGATATGAAGGATAACGCTCCTCCAATGCTATCTTATTGTGATGGAGGGATTTGTGTGTCGTAGAAGCTATGTTGTTGGTGGCAATTAACCTCTGGTATGTTCTCCCAAAGCAACTTATTCTGGGTGAAAAGGGTAAACTAAGTTTGAATCACACAAACCATTTGGATCATTGTTCCTTGGCTGGCCTGGAGTTAAAAAGGCCCCATACTTGAGCCAAGCCCAGAGGAGAACATTGTCAGCAAGTGAATGGTGGTCAGGGTTTAGCCCATGAGGCCACCCTTCCTGTGGACACTTGCAGGAGTCTGATGCAGAGTGGATTAGGCAGTGGTTGAAAGTCTGTGGTTGGTGGTCTGATCCCGAGTTGCTAAAACTGACTTTGGGTACATGAAATGTCACTAGCCTGAGCTAGTGCTTAAGGCCAAGAGATACCGGCTTGATATAGTGGAACTTGCCTCAATGCACAGGTTGGGTTCATAAACAGTTTCATGCAGAGTTGTTGTACTTTGCTCCACTCTGCAGCTGCCCTTGGTGAGAGCTGTTGAGTATACTTGCAATCCCTTGGCTGGGCACATGCACATTGGGAGTTTTCTCTAAAGGACGACAGGGTCGGGGACCTGACTGTCGTTTGCGCTTATGTGTCAAATAATAGTTCAGAGTACACAGCCTTCTTGGGTTCCCTGAGTGGGGTGTGGAAAAATACCCCACTTTGTGACCTCATTGTCCTTCTGGGGGACAATGACAGTGTGACCTTGGGTGTAGTGGGACTGGGAGAAACAGTCTGTCTGAACCCGAAAGGTGTTCTGTCATTGGACTTCTGCTCTAACGACAGCTGACCCTTACTGAACGCCATCTTCGAATACATGGGAGTCCATTAGTGGACCTGGCACTGGGACTTCCTGGGCCGAAGGTCAATGATCAACTTGGTAATTGCATAATCAGATATGTCAGATATGCCGCTTTATGTTCTGGAGACTCGGGTGAAGAGAGGAGTAGAGCTGTCGTTAGAACGAGCTGGACCAGGTGGCAGGTTGGAATTTTAGACAGGACAGGCACACACAAACAGAGAGCGAGGGTGTGCTGGAAACACAGCCCCGGGTCCCCTTCAAATCCCACCTGGGGAAGTTTATGGCAAAAGGAGACACGGAGAGATGAGAATTAACACCTCAAAGTTCAAGGCCATGGTCCTCAGTTGGAAAAGTGTAGAGTGCCTCTTTGGGGTAGGGGACAAGTAACTTCCCTCTTATATCTCTGGGTCTTGTTCACAAGTGAGGGGAGAGAGGAGCAGGTGGCTGACAGATGGATTCCGGCTGCATCTGCAGTGATGTGAATGCTGCATTGGTCCATCATGATAAAGAGAGAGCTGATTTACTGGTCAATCTACATTCCTACTCTTACTCATGAATAAGGCCTGGTCAAGAGCTCTGGGTAGTGACTGAAAGAATCAGATCGCAGATACGAGAGGTGGAAATGAGCTTTCTCTCAAGAGTTGTTGGGTTCAGCCTTAGAGACAGGATGAGGAGCTCAGCCACTTGGAAGAGACTTGGAGAAGTCCCTTACTACTCCTTGACATTGAAAGAAGCCAGTTGAGGTAGTTCAGGCATCTGACTAAGGTCCGTCCCAGGTGCTTCGTAGGTGAGGTGTTCTCAGTGAGGGCCCTGAGGCAGATTGAGGACATGCTGGAGAGATTACGTATGTTGGCTGGCTTGGGAAAACCTCGATGGACCCACCCAAAAGAGCTGGAAGAAATGACTGAGGAGAAGGAAGTCTGGATGTCTCTGTTATAATGGTGCCCCCGTAACTCTGTTCAGGTTAAGTGGATGCAGATACACACTTTGTTTGTGCCTTCAACTCACCTTTACGCCCAGGAAAACCAGACTGACCAGGCTCTCCAGGGTTACCAGGGCTTCCTCTTTCACCAGGGAAACCTGGATCACCTTGTGGATATGGCCCATTTGGCAGTGAAGCTGGAAATATGACTCCAGGCAAACCTTTTGGACCTGGAAACCCTGGAAGGGAAAGGGTGGAGAAAAAGAGGGATGGAGGAAAGATAAAGGGTAGAAGAAAATGAAGAAGAAATTGTGGGGAAAAGAGTGGGGGAAACTAAAGACTTATGCTGTCCTACCTCTAATTCCTGCCGTTCCTTTGCTTCCAGGAAAACCAGAGTCGCCTCTAAAACCCTGGACACCAGGAATTCCAGCAAAACCACCATCACCCTTTTGTCCTGAAGGGCAAATACATAATGTTTCAGTTTATCTTTTTTTTAATTGAAAACATATAGGAGCAAACATAGAAAAGAAGAAGCAGCATTTTTAGTTCATGCCATGTATTTTAGCCATACTCCACCTTTTAAACCAGGTCTGCCAGGGAATGCAGGACCTCCAGGTAATCCTGGTTCACCCTTTGTACCAGGGTTCCCTGGGAAGCCTGGCAGACCAGGGTCACCTCTGTCTCCCTGAGCTGTGCCTGGACCAGGTGGGCCGGGAAGACCTGGAGGACCTTGGACACCTATAAGAAAGAAAAAAGGAGAGGAAGAGAGAAATTCAATTCAAGGAAGGTTGAATAAATTAACGTTAAAGGGAAAAGAAAGAAAAACTAAGCATAGAAAAGTATAGGAGAATATAAAGGGAAAAAAGAAAAAATGTGAAAAAAGCAGAGAATGGAAAACAAAATCATTCAAGTTGATTAAGGAAATGTATTTACCATACTGTCCATCCAGTCCAGGGAGACCTGCATCTCCTGTAGGTCCAGGAAAGCTTTCTATTGATCTGGGTCCAGGAGGTCCAGGGTTACCCGGGCTCCCTTTCAATCCAAAAGGACCTGATATACAGAAAGTAAAAAAATATTATTGCACATTGAATCTGCACATTTTTGATTTCATTGAAGTCTATTTCACCTGGTTCTCCTCTTTGTCCTTTTTGGCCGGGATACCCTGGAACACCGGGTTGGGAAACACCTCTTTCTCCCTTCAACCCTGGACTACCAGAAAGGCCGGGCCTACCTCCCAGAATTGCACCTAGATTAAAAAACATAAAGTTGTTAAATCTTTCATCTTTGCAAGCCTAAAACAATCAGACGTATGTTGACCCTGATGAAGAGGGTGAAAAGGTTGAGCTTTGCCAAAGCAGTATGCCTCACAGCTTTGTATAATGAACTTTCCTTTTCTGCAGACACACAAAGGGCCAAAATGCAAAACTGCTCATCGTTCCTCAGTTATCGAGCCATAACTACTTGATACATTCATCTATTCTTACTGGATCATGCTAAGATTAGCTTTAGCTTTGGATTATCTGGCTTATTGTACATCTCATTTTGGTTTACTGAGTACTGAGTGAGTAGTGAGCTGTGAAATAAAGCAAGAAATATAGAATCAGCTGGTGTGAAATGTGATTCTTGCCTGGGTTTCCAGACAGGCCTTTAGGTCCTGCTAGGCCATTAAGGCCATCCAAACCAGGTGGTCCGGGAAAACCTAAAATAACAAAAATAAAACAAACAAACAAAACATTAAAAACACTGGAAAAGACCATTTTTTTAACCTCATTTGGAAAAATCATTGTAAGATTAGTGTATGAATGTAGTGGATTTTCTTTTTTCCTTTCACCTTTAAACCCACGATTTCCAATGAATCCAGGCCGACCAGGAAGCCCATCAGGCCCCCTTCCTATTCCTGGCAATCCAGGCTGACCTTTTGGTCCAGGGAAACCAGGAGAGCCTGCAGAGAAGAAAAACGACATCTCAACACTTTCTGTAAATACAAATCTCTACGACGTCATGAAGGAATTACTGCAACAGGACTTTGTTTTCTTAGGAGTTACTCACCCATTATTCCATACCGCCCCTGTTCACCAAGAATCCCCTTCTGTCCGAGGAAACCTGGATTTCCTGAAAATCCATTATCGCCAGGTTCACCAACTTTCCCTTGGTCGCCTGTCGACATATTTAAAATGTTATAAAACTTCTGAAGAAATCAGAGATTGGAGACCAACTCTGATCTCCCAAAAAGCTTGTCCCACAGTACTAAGAATTTCTTCACCTGCACTAAATATATTTATTTTACTAAAAATAAAATATAAAGGAAATGTAAATTCTGATCCACGTCAACAAGTTTATAAAATATGACAACAACAACACTACAAGTGATGTGATGCTGGATGCTTTTCTTTATTTACAGAGATGTGAAAAGGGAAAGACCATCTCTGAATCAAGGAGGGGGCCTAAGGGTACATCTTTCACCATCTTACAATTCTGTGATTGCAGCCGTTCCCCAACTCTCTGTGAATGGTACTCATGGCCATTGATCAGTGGTTGCTGATCAATGGCCATGACAAATAAAGTTTCACCGTAACCAAGTAAGGTGAGTCTTACCTGGGATCCCTGAATCTCCTTGTCGGCCTTTAAGTCCTGGTGCTCCAGGATAACCAAAAGTTTCTCCAGGTAGTCCTAAGAGAAGAAAGCATTTAAGTCAAAGGATGTTTGATTTGATTATGAACAGATGTAAAGAAGATGTTTATCACTGATGGTAGACTTCATATGTACTAGTGCTGTGCGATATGAACAAAATCTCATATCCTGATATAACACATTTATCGTCCCGACAACGATATAAATCACAAAAATGTAACATTTTCTGTAAATTCTGTGAATCTCGGGCAACTTGCGTGAAGCTGGGTGTCGTGTACCTTATTTGAGGTATTTTCATTAATGCATATTCCAAAATTTGACGTTTGAGAATACTGTATATTATCATCACGTCAGTTTATTTTGAAAAGTTGGAACAGAATCTTCGGCTTTATTGTGACACTTTTATGTGGAAAATAAACAAGCGGATGGCGGAGCCACATGCTGCAAACAACAATGCATGAAAACAGTCGCTTGCCCATGCATAGTGCGTTTTTTTTAAATAGAAGAGAACGTGAGAACTATTAGAAATTAATATAGCCACTACAATATTGCCGTAAACAGTTTATTTTGGGACACAACGAAACAAATGATAGTGTAATACAGATGTTCTCATATCATCATCCGATGCATATCTTTATATCCAACAGCACTAATATGTACTCTTACCTTTGGCACCAGGCCGACCAACTTCTCCAGGCCTTCCAGATAAACCTGGAAAGCCATTATTGCCCTAAAAACAAACAAACAAACATCCGAATTTTAATCTCTGCCTGGCAAAATTTGCTACATGTATATGCATCTTTTCTTACTTTTGGTCCCACAGTGCCGGGGAATCCCATAATTCCAGATTCTCCTTTTTGTCCAGAGAAGCCTGGAAGTCCTGTTTCCCCAGAAAGGCCAGGTTCTCCCGGCAGCCCTTTACTCACATCAGGGAAACCAGGAGCTCCAGGTCGTCCTGGACGACCAGGTGCACCTGGCTGACCCTTGTCACCTGTTAACCCAGAGAAAGATCAGAGTTTGTAACACAAGGTGATGGATGTTCACAGCAGCAAAAAGCAGTTAAATTCTTCATTAGAGAGCCTACATTTTGCAGAAGTGCGAACAGCTGCAGTTCCACTAGTGGGAACTTGGGGCTGGCTCTGAAGGTCAGTATCTGGAGACTCCCGTATGAAAGTGCTAAACTGTACAGCATGTTTTCAGCATGTAACAAAATGCTTTTTTAGGGGTTTACTGATAATTTCCCCCTTCTTTAAGAGCACAGTACAGATATTTTGTTTGTTTGTTAAGCTGAGAGGTATCCCAACACAGGCAACCGTAGATGCTCTCTGTCTGCGAGGCAGTATTTCCACTAATCTGAGTCACTGCCCCGGCCCTCTTTATTGTGTTGGTCCTCTCAGCTTCATCCACCAATTCAGTGTTGAAGTCCTCATCTATGAAAAAATTCCTTTTTTTAAAAAATATGTAACAAATATGAATCTCTTCTAAAAAGATTATCCTCTGTTTCATTCAACGATCCGCTTTCGCTCTTTTCATTCTGCATCGCCGCCATGTGCGTATGTAAACAAAGGCGCAGCACATGCGCGTTTTACCCAGGTTCTATCGCGATATTTCATTTTCCTGTCGTTGCCCAAAATTACACCAGTATTACCGTGAACAGTATGATACAGCCCAGCCCTAGTCAGAAGTTCAACAACAGAAACGATGCAAAGCCAAATCAACTAGATCATCTAGCTAGTGTACTTACGGTGCTGGAGCAGTGTTGATCGGTCCAACGTGAGATTCACTACATGTGGACTTAGTATGACCTGAGGTCCCAAAATCACCACTTCTTGCTGCTAATTTTTCCAGTCCCCCAGAAAACACACAGTGCCTGGTAGACCCCATGAGAAAGGCTTTAATCAGCACTCGTACTGCGCCAAGTCAGAGTGATCTTACTGGCTGACTGTACAAATGAAAAAACACAGAAATTCATCACAAAAACCACATTCAAAATGACTAATCTGGCTCTCGCAGCAAGGTGTACCTAACGAAGTGGCCAGTGAGTGTAAATAGTTGTCAGACACAGACTTTGACTTGAAATTTAAATAAGTACCCCATAAATACTGCTGGTGTTATACTCCTTGACTTCAATATATCTTGGTTTATTTGAATAATTTTTTTTTTTTTAAAAGAGGAAAATACACAAATTTGTAATTTTGGACGACGCTGTTGTCGGCGTTTTTCTTTTTTTTAAAACTTCCAGTAAAAACTATGCAGAATAAAAACTTTCATAATTAAAGAAAAAAAAGAAAAAACTTATGAGCTATGTGATTCTTTGCCACTAGGTGGCAGTACTCGCTGTCTGAAAGAGAGAGGGGAAAGAGCTAATGTAAGAAAGGAGAAATGAGAAATCACTCAGCAAGTCTCGAGTGCAGGTTTCAGAGATGGTGAAGAGAAAGCAGAAGCAATTCATCAAAAAGTGTGGTGAAAGATGCAAACACAGAAAACAGGGAGTTTAAATGTGTTTGATAAATGTGCCTAAGAGTTGGCAGATGGACTCAACCTCACTGATCCCTGACGCTTAATTTCAAAAGGCCAGCAGAGTAATCAGGTTCACTTTAAATAACTGTCATGCCAGTTAGACAAGAGAAAGATGAGGTGCAGTGACTTTAACTCTCAGATGAGGCAAGGAAAAAAAAAAAGGATGATTTGGATTGTGATGGAAATCCGAGGAGAGGGAGCAGTATTTCCAGTCTGAAACTTGACTTCTTTTCTTTAAAAAAGCAGAGAAATCAGAGAAAGTGAGGAAACAAGTTTAAGAACTGAGCGTCTTTCAACACTTGCTGCTCAATTTACACCACCCTTCTTTCTAACAGGGGAGACAGATGCAGGCAGGTGGAGTGGAGTGGGGTGGGAGTGCTTCCCGAGGGGGCTCAGCATGCATCTTAGTTCAGTATTTAGAAAACATTTCCACATTTTGCCTCTTTGTTCACCGTCTCAGGTACGCTGGAATTTTCGGACACCCACTCGAACATGTCCTATGTCTTCATCAACGACTCGTCGCAGACCAGCGTGCCTCTGCTGCAGTCGTGCATTGATGGAGACCTGCCCTTTGCCAAGAGGCTGCTAGAGACCGGATGCGACCCCAACATCCGTGACAACCGGGGCCGCACCGGCCTCCACCTAGCCGCCGCCAGAGGGAACGTGGAAATATGCCGCCTCTTGCACAAGTTTGGGGCCGATCTGCTGGCGACGGATTACCAGGGGAATACGGCGCTGCACCTGTGCGGCCACGTGGATACGATACAGTTCCTGGTGTCCAACGGGCTGAAGATCGACATCTGGTAAGAATTCAGAGTTCAGGTGATGACAGTGAGCTGTTTCCACCCTGAGCAACTTAATGTTCTCTCATTTTAACTCCACTTTTAATTTCATGTATATCAACTATTCAGAATCATGTAGTCATGCATGATTCACGATGATATGGTAGAAGCTAAAAGCCATGTGGTGTACTGAGACTGTTTGGGTTGTAATACCCTCTCTAAACAACTTAAATCTGCCCTTTAGAGATTTCTGAATGAATGAAAAAGCACTAAACTCAAATTAAACTGCAATGAGCAAAGCTGCTCTAGAGATGATCTGAATCCACAAAGAACTGACAACAGAAAAGAAGCAAAAAGAAACAAATTTAAAATTGAGCAGACAGTACTCTGAATCTTCAGTCGGAGGTTGGTGTTAATTCTGTCAGAGTATTCATTTAATGTTATTTGGGTTGTTTTTTCTTTGTAACTGCTTATTGAGCATCTTAAATATATAAAGTTAGTTGGGGAATTTGAATCAAAGTATCGTAAATTTCATGAATGAAAGAAATATAACTAAAAGATAAGTCTTTTCTATGTAACTGCTGCTAAAATCCCATTGGTGGAATTCACCTTTCACCTCTCAGCAGAGCGAATCTAATGACTTCCTGTCCCCTCGGGGGGAGTGCACTGTTGCTCCCCTCAGAGGAGACGAGAGGAGTATTTGGTTCTGTTTGTTTGCAGTTTTCAAACTATTGTGTTCAAATCGTGTGTGATGGTAAACGCCAATAAGAGTTCGAGCTGATTTCATTTTGAGGGAAAATCGGGTCAAGGTTGCACCAGATGTGAAAATTGTTGAAACCTTTAGATCACGCACATTTTTCTTTTGTATGGATCGTCTTCAACCTTCACAACCATTTACTATCATCTTGGGCACCATGAGTAGCATTTCACCTTTACCAACTTTTGGGTTATCAAGTAAGTTGTGAACAAACTGAAGCTGAATATCTGATGTTTCTCTGGGAGACTTTAAAGCTCTGATAAATAATCCTGTAACTGAAGAGTGCAATAAACCAGACTTTGTGTTTTTGCTGGTACTGTGATATCGCTCCCCAGCAGACACAAAAATGATCACGTGAGCATGAACACAACAGGAAGTCTCTGAACTCTTCATGCATGTAAATCTAAACCAGTGTCTGAAAGTGTCAGACATAGTACACATTTTGCTGTGTGTGTTCAAATGCTTACAAGATGAATGGATAAGCTAACAGATCTCAGTCACCCCATGGCAAACACAAGAGATGACCTCATGCTGCTGCTGTACCGATTACCCTCTTTTTAGACTGTTAGACTTGTCTGAAAGATGCCCCTGATGAAGCTGCTGAAATATGACACAAACACTTAGATACGTTCTGGTTTTTCAGGGAATATTTGGGAGTTGTGAAATTGTTTTAATTCACTAAATGAGGTCATCACTTACTGCCATGAGTTGATGTTACGTAAATCACCCATACCCGCGACAAAGCCAGTACCAAGGCCATCTGGCTCATTGTTTGCTGGGATTACTAAAAAGGATTCAGTGCTTTCAGTTTTCAGTTGAACTTAACAAAAACATTAGCTTTTAATTCTACTGTGCAGACTAATCATATTGTTTTTATCTGCAGGCTACATTTGTGACTGTATTTATGTATGCACAGTTGTGGAACAGCATATTCACATTATGGAGGTTTCCTGGTTCAAGTTAATACAAAACTCGTGTGTTGGATAAAAGAAATAATAGATTTCTTTTGTTCTTACTGCAGTAACCACAACGGATCGACTCCTCTGGTGCTGGCGAAGAGACGCGGAGTCAACAAGGATGCTATTCGTCTGCTGGAGGGGCTGGAGGAGCAGGAGGTGTGTTACACCCCGGCCTAGGCAACCGGAGTGCAACACGAAAAAAATAAAAATAAAGAAAAAAAACACACAAAAAAACCCCCCACTAAAGCTCACCACCAAAATCCCAAAACGAAAGTATCGACAAATCTATTTACAGCTATTTACAACAAACTATTTATTTACAACAAAACACCAAACTATTTACAACACGGGGGAGATCGCGACCATGACACACTGAAACACAAGGCTTAAATACATAGAAGGAGCAATCAGGGAATGGACCACAGGAGGGAAACACAGCTGGGGCAAATTAGACCTGACGAGACAAGGAAACGTAAACTGAACACACTAAGATAACACAGACTTTCAAAGTAAAACAGGAAATACATGACAGTCACGCAAAAACAAAACACTGACAACACCGAAACGTAACAATAAATAACAAGGGAGGAGAAAACAATGAAAAGATACAAAACATCAGCAATATACAGCTTGTAACAGAGCAAACAGGGATGTAAAAGTGACTTTATCAATGAGTGCTTGTAAAGGTGTTAGGCCACACATGAACGCGGGTCTCTGAGTCACCGTCTCTCTCGTATCACTAATATTATATTTATTGCGTGCTGACTAGCGATCAATGATGTGTTCAAGATTCACAATAAAAGGATCAAATTGAGCAACAAATAAACAAACCTGAGTTTTTGTTCTACACAGCTAACGAGACTTCTTCAATTTATTCTTCCGCCCTTCTTCCGCCTCTCGTACCAGCTCCAGCTGGCGGTGGAGAAAGGCAGGACCGACTGACGTAGTAGGCGAGTGCCCAGGGAGAGGAGGGCGATGACACCATCCAGCAGCAGCAGGACCCTCCAGAAAGCCAGGTCCTCCACAAACTCCTGTCCAGGTGGTCCTGATAGCTGGACAGGACGCCCTCGGTGCTCTGCAGGGTCCAGTTCAGTAAGGAGCATGCTCTCATCGCACTGAACACACACACACACACACACACACACACACACACACACACACACACACACACACACAGCAAAATACAGATTCTTAAACAAGCTGAAAAGATAAATCAGCACTAAGATCATCAAACAGAGATTATTTCAGTCCTAACTTCCTGAAAACTGCTCAAGGGTCTGAAGTTGTTTGCAGCTGTCATTCCCAGTGCAAATCTAAGCACCCGTGCAGTAAGTACAGTTAATAAATGTCAGGGAGTCTGTCTGCCTGCTGAGTCAATATGATATCAGTCTGTGATTATTGTAGGTCTTTACTCTGAAATATAAAGTGCCTTGAAGCAGCTGTTGTTGTGATTTGTTATGAATTAGGAGGCAGGTTTATCAAACTGAGTGCGTCCAGTGCTCCATGGCACTTGTGTTGGGATGATTTAATGTGAGTTTACTCGGCTAACGTGCCTCATGATGCATGAGACGGGCTGTAATATAAAATATTGATATTTTCATATCATCACGCAAAATATCAAGATACTATCAATTTACGGCGACCGTGGCTCAGGGGGTTGGGAATCGCATCTGTAACCGGAAGGTTGCCAGTTCGATCCCTGGGCTCTCTGTCCTGGTCGTTGTGTCCTTGGGCAAGACACTTTACCCTACTTGCCTACTGGTGTTGGCCAGAGGGGCCGATGGCGCGATATGGCAGCCTCGCTTCTGTCAGTCTGCCCCAGGGCAGCTGTGGCTACAACCGTAGCTTGCCTCCACCAGTGTGTGAATGTGAGAGTGAATGAATAGTGGTATTGTAAAGCGCTTTGGGTGCCTTGAAAAGCGCTATATAAATCCAATCCATTATTATTAATTTACTCCCCCCCCAACTTATTGGCAATAACTCTAATTTCAAACAAAGACGTATGTGGGCGTGCCACTTCTGTGAGATTTGAACTTAATGTGTTTGTGGATGTATAATCCACCGAAATCATCATCATATGAGAGAAAACAGGAGGAGCATATATATTTCTGACTGTCAGATTATTCAATGTGAGCATACTGTGATTGATTTTTATGTGTTTTATTAAGTTTTGTTTGTTTGTTGGTGTGCATTTGTGCTGAACTGTGCTGTTACACAGAGAGAAGTGTGACCATAATATATCAGCTCTTTGGTAAGAGTAACAATAGCATGACTGAAAGTACATCGCCTGCTGCTGCTGCTGCTGCCTGTCAGACGGGGGGGATCACACTTTGGCAGGAAGTCGTTTTATCCTGTTACTGTATGTGTGCTGAAGAAAAAACAACAGTAATGATAGGATGGTGCTGTAGTTAAACATTTCACACTGACAGAGTTGCAGTGATTTAACCCACTTGAGACCAAAGTGGGCTGTTTGTGGCCCTCTCTGCTCTACAGTTTCCCCTCAGCAGGCTTTAACAGACCAATAAATAACTGTGTAAACAGCTGGTGCTGTGGTTAATGTGGTACTTAACCATGAATTAAACTACTTAGAGAAATAAAAACACTTTACTCAATGGCACCACCCTCCTTTCTCTCTCTCACACACACACTGGAGAATGTGTTTGAGTGGGGTCTCAATTACAGTCAGCTAGAGTTTTGGCAAATGTCACTTTAAATACCAAAGCGGTGAGCATCACAGGCGCTGTGAAATTGAAACCAGCAGTGGCTTTCTACCTTTTCTAGTTTTTAATCAACCACAATTCGTCCAACTGTAGGTGATGATGTAACATTTCCGCTCTCACAGAAATGCAATCGACACCTGCAAGACAACATCTGGTCACCTGATCGCCTCTCACTGGAAGGCAGGAGCAGATTATCAGGACCAGCTGATTTAATGCAAAGATCAAGGACGTTAAAAGTCTGAGTGTGACAACAAGAAGGAGGAAGAAAGTACACCAGCTGCACTGAAACAGATTCACTCTTCAACATAAACCTTAAAGGTATTCTCCCACATACACAGTACACAATTCAAAGTAAAATCACACAGTCCAAGGAGCCTGTGCACAACTGGAAACTGTCAACCGCACACATTCAACTACACACAATGAAGAACACAGCCTTGTTCAACAATAAGACAGAAACCACACAGTGATCACAAATGTGACTAAAACAAGTTAAAGTCTTGTTTATGTTATTTCTTATTTTTATTAATTGCAGAACCACGTCCCTACTCGCCAGTGAGAGTGCGTGTTCGATGTGGGCTCGTTGTAAATAAAGTTCTTCCAGTCTGACATCATTCTACGTCTCTGACCGGACGTTATTACCAGGGAACAGTACAGAATCACGTTTCAGAGATAGTGGTCCAGGGCGTGCGCTACAACGTCCCACATTCACTGAAATGGGAGCTCACGTGCCTTTATAATTTTATGCTCCTACACTGTTTTACTATTTCACTCATTCAAGTTGATATAATAGCAGAAAATATTAAGTAGGGAGACCGGGGATAGTTGTAACGTGGGTCAGTTGTAACACTTCCAATTTCTCCAATCAGGGCTAAGTTTCAAATGATGTGACTCATCCTGTGCATGCCCAATTCAGTTCTGCTATCACATGTGAAAAATCAGCACATTTTGTCAAACACAGACAATTTAACACGAAAAAAAGTCATTTGTATGCCAAAAAGTAAGTTTTTCTACTTTATTTCAATTTCTAATAGCATTATCTGCTTTGCAGTTAAACTCATCAAACTTAAATTATGTTATTTGTATGTCTATGGGGATATATTCTGTGTAGGTCTTTAGTGCTAATGTTTTAGCCGTTGGCTTAATGCAGATGTTACAACTTACCACACTATTACTTTAACTTATATTAAACAAGTTGGGGCAACGACATCAGCAGAGAGAGGTTCACTGGTCGCATTTGTATATGCGGTTAATGCCATTGGCAACACAATTCCTCCACTGTTTGTGTTCCCACACATACATTATGCAGACCACTGTGTCAGAGATGGACCAGTAGGAAGTACTGGTAGTGGAAATAAATCAGGATGGGTGCAAGAAACAGATTTCCTCATCTTTCTGAAGCACTTTGCAAACCACACCAAGGTAAGCCATGATAAAAAGTAATGGAATTGCGATGCTGGTGAACAACTACATTTTTTCAGCTTCATTGTTATGTTCAAAATTGGTGCAAGAGTTGTAGGTTATAATGCCCACTGAGCCAATGAGGCCAAACTCAAGGAAGACCAACCAAAATTAATGAAATATTCAGTTGCAGAAAATTCCATAATTTGTCTTTTTTGGGGGGTTGGAATATGTTCAAAAGCTAGATTTCTGCATTCTGTCACACACACACACACAGCTACATAAATGGCTCTAAGTGCATTCATGTGTTGAATAAACAAAGATTACATGTTAATGTTTTGTTAGTACCCTTATTTCATTGTGTTACATTTCACCCCAGGATATGTTACAACTAACCCAGACTATGGGGTTAATTGTAACATTTCACTCTTTGTGTTTGAGACCATACCATGCAATGGGTAATTGTGCTGCAGAGAAAATAGCTGCACTATTTAATAGCAGAGACATGTAAATACTTTGCATTACATTTTGAATCCACTACCTTAAAAGAGCTCCAATTTACAGACAGAAATGTCAAAAATGTTACAACTATCCCCGGTCTCCCCTACATTATTTCCATGGTTGTGAGAAAAACTTGTACTAAAACCAAGCTAAACATATCTACAGTCTATAGTCTAAGTTCAAAAGACATCTTCATGAATGAATTGGGTTACAAGATTCAAAAACAAGAAGACCAGACTGGTAGAAAATATCTAAACAACCCTGCCTACTTCGCATAAAAGAAACGCTCTACCTCACTGCTTCTCAAAGATCGAATCCTTGGAGCTATTTCCCCGTTTTATTTGGTATCAGCCAAGTATTTGGAAAGTCGACCAAATCTGGGACTTTATTTAAAGTAACTGTGGAAGAAGGACAATCTGCGTTACTACCGTGTTACTTTCCAATAACCAATAAATCTGTGTCTGCAAGGTGGGAGAAAAAAGGGCATGTTGTAGTTGAGCGCAATTCCTACGAAGACCAAAGAAACGGAATTGATAGCCGATTTTTTGTGTCATCTGGTTGGGAGGAAGATGGAAGATTTTTTTTAACACTACAACAGACAGAGAAAGCAGATAAAGGGGTTTATTACTGTTCCAGACAAGCGGAAAGCGGAGAAAAAGTGAGGGGATATCCCTCTGTTGTGGTCCTGAAGGTCAAGAAGAAAGCACTAATAACCATATCTGAGCCAAACCAATGTTTTTGTGTTTCTGTGTGTGTGGGTTTTGGAGTGTTGTTGTGTGTGTGGTGGGTGCGCGTCGAATCTCAATCGGGTTTTTAACGTAATATAAGGAATCTCCTAAAATCGAATTAGACAAAATAACAAAGAACATTAATGACTGCTGAAAATAAAATAGAAGATTCTCCAGACAGCACAGAACTACACTCGCCACGGCCTCCCTTGCAATCCCCACCCCCAATTAGGTGTGCACGAACAACGATGAAGCACGAGCCGGCAACTCCTGCAAGCATATTCCCCCTATAGCTAACCTTCAATCAATCACCGTACCTTCTCGCTCTCAACAAATACACATGAATAGCCGCCGCCAAGCTAGAAGTCGCACCATACCTCTTAGTCCTTTCCCCTTAATTAATTAGAGCCGAGACAACCGCAGACCCGACGACAGCCCCTTATTCACCTCCTGCTCATTCCACCCCCCCTATTAGATAGGCCCCGGAAGCACCGGCAGAGTGCGAAGGCCCTATTATTCCCGACCCCCCACGCTCTCTACTCAACAATTAGACCCCACCACTACAACACACAAAAACCAACCAAAATACTACATTATTCAACCAAACAGCAATACCTCCTCTCTCTCTT